GTTGTTGTTGTTGATTCGCTCCGATCAGTTATTGTTGATACAAAGGTTACGACTTCTTTGACTGAGCCCTATGTGTACACTGATAGAGGACTCGCTAGAGGACCCATCGATCGCCCGATGATCACAAAGTATGTTGACCATGTGGCATTACGACTATGGCAGGGCGAAATATATGTCTTTTATGTTTAACTTTAATTATTGTTTATGTATGTTTGTCACAAGAGGTATCAACTAAGTTATTTATATGTTTTTGTCACAGGGGTGAACCATACTATATGTGGCATCGCACAGTTCAAAAATGAAGGACTTCCCAAAGAGTCTAATGCCTGACTAGGTTAATCGGGTTATACGAAAGTTCTGGTTGCTTGATTTCTTGCCCACTTTTCCTTCACCATGCTCGACGTTCCACTACTTAATGCGTTTGTTGAGAGGTGGCATAAGAAGACATCTTTATTTCATCTTCTGTTTGGGGAGATGACTATCACTCTGCATGATGTCTCCATATTGTTTCATCTTCCAATCAGCGGCAGATTTTATACATCTCCCATTCTTAGCATGTCCCTTACATGTCAAACAGTTGCACAAGATTTGGGATTATCTGAGGCGGAGGTGCAAAAGGAGTTTGGCAAGAACAGGGGTGTGCACCTTCGTATGTCTTGGCTTCAGAAGACATATAATCATCTTGTAGCTGCTTGGAGGAATGAGGCTACCGCTAGGGCGTACATGCTACATATAGTAGCATGTACTCTCTTTGCAGATAAGTCTGGTGTCTATATGAATGCTTGATACACGTGCCTCTTTAATAGCCTTGAGGACACCAATTGAGCTTGGAGTGTGATCTGTTTAACCTTTAGTATACAACCCTAAGAGTGGCGACGGTCTTTGAGACCAAACAACTTGTTGGCTATTTAAGTCTATTACAAGTATACTTGAAATTATTATTTGTTGTTAAATTATTATTTATTTTTTATGAATAACATGTCTTTTCTATTATTTGTTGTGCATCTATTTTGATATCAATGTTGAATATACAAGCATTTCCCCACCATCTGTGACAGGACGTACAACATTCTCCAACATGGGCCCCATACGGGCGAAGAGGTGGAAGTCCAGACAGTCACATTCTAGCGGTGTTGTTGAGTACAGGAGGAGGCTCGATGCACTGTCTGTATATGATGTCATCTGGACACCATACATTAGTGATATAGTCTACCGTGAATTCGAGAAGTCATTATTATATTTAGGTTATATGCGATGGGAGACCATGGTTGCTAGGCACTTGCTTGAGATCTGTCTGCGACAATATGATTATGTTCAGAATATCCACGACCAGTTCCAGATATACCATCTTCAAGTATTACTTTGTGGTTTCAGAGTAACTTCATCAGCTCTTGTCGTGCCATTAGAAACCGAGCAGTCACTGTTCAGCACCCCTCGCAGTGTGAGGATGGTTACTTAGGGTGGTACCTCACTGCATCACACTCTCGCATCACCCCACCTACAACTGATGTTGGACCTTCTGATGCCGGGGTACCTGTTGATGACATGCCACTGCTGCCTCCTTCAGCAGATGATGCCGATGACCAGCATTGCCTCCAAATGATTGTAGTTATTATAGATAACCTCATGGTTTGATAAACCCAAATGGCAAAGTTTATACCGGATTATCTCGGGTTGCACACATAGCCCGTGAGAGCTTATTTAAATATCTTTTGTATTATTTATTATTTATATATTATTCAGACATCTTCATTATAACTCTTATTTGCTAATATTATTGATCTTTCTTAAATTGTAACATGAAGATTAACTAACATTTGACAATGTATTACATAACTTAAACAAAAAAAAATTTAACACTACAATATGATTAATAAATAAGAAAAACATAAACAATACCAAACGCTTCTGAACATTCCAGCATCTCCATTATGTCATCAACAAATTTTGAAAGCTTAACATCTAACTCGACCGACCCCTTTGTTATCCTACAAAGAAGTGAAGTCCACATTTTCTTCACATCTTCGCCAATTTTCAACTCAATAAGGTTGTATTTCACCCTCCCGTTAGTATCAATCCAATCTTCACAGAACTTGATCTTACTCACCTTTATGTGTTCGGCATCAGGCATTCATTCATTCAACTTGGAGGTCAGGCCGCCAAATGATGTGGTGCCATCTGGAAGCCGAAATTTTACAGGAGGGGAAGCTCCGTTGAAGTACACTTTTGCCTTAATCAAAAATTGAGGAATAAACATTTTTTGAGACGTGTTTATCAAACAACATGTGACCCCTTATTTATACAACTTTGCATTTACTCTAAACCACACAAATTGTCGGTGCAATCACAACCATCCAAAACCGTCGACAAATTCCTGAACATCTAAAAAATCAAATAAATAACACTACTAAAAATTTCGCTTAGATTGAAATTTTCGATATCATCGTGTAAATTTCAAATTTCCGGAACTGATTCAAACTTAGTATACTAGAAATTTCAAATACACTACTGGAAATTTCATTCAGTACCGAAAATTTCGTTATAACTACCAAAAATTTTGAACGGAATTTTGGTCCTTTTTTCACCCAAGAGTAGTTTTGAGAATATGAAATATTGGGGATGCCAAGTATAAAATGGGGGGTGACAGGTTAAATTATCTAAAGTAATGCCTAGAAAGTTTCTATAAAAGAGAATTTCTTAATCCACCCCTTGATACTCTTAGGCAACTAGCGCATTTCCTTTTATGCCCCCTACTTCCGGATATACGTATTCGGACACATCTTTTTTTTTTTTGTGCCAAAATTTAGTTTTTTCTGAAGCTACATCTACGAAATAATTTTAAACTGGTAAACACTGGGAAAGACTTCAAAATAATTCAGTTCAGGGAAACTTTCGCAGATGCACCTCTGAAACGTCTAAGCGCCATATTATTCCGTAGATACAACTCCAAAAATTTCTGCTATACTTGAAACCTGCATGATCACTCCCCCCTTATCGTGTTTTCTTCTTCCACACTCACATTCACCAACCTAAAAAACCCTACATTCTCAATATCATTTTTCACTCCAAAACTCTAACTTTTTCGTGCAACAAATTAAAGGGAGCAAGAGAAGATCGAATTTCAGGTAAAGAATACACTTGCCCACTACATTGCTCACATTAATCATCAAATTTTTGGAAAAAAAGTAACGTTGCTTCTAGAACTGTATCTCCAGATCGTGTTGAAGATGAACACTTCCAGATGTACATCTCCGGAAGTGTTTGTGACCTGTTTTTTTACATCAGATTTGTAATTTTTGTTTACTTTTCTTATTGTTTACAAATAGATATGGTGCACCCCGATAATATCTCAAAAGAATTAGTTTTTACAAACAATGTTTCTCCGAATGTTCAAGGGGTTGTCGTAAACTCAGTAGATGTCGGTGTTGACTTTAATAATAAGCAAGAGTTTGATGATCTTGATAGCATGCTCACATGGATTCGTAAGACTATAAGAGTTGAAGACGCATAAAGAATCGTACACGCGGTTGTATGGAAAGAAAGGAAAATTCGATGAGGTTTACGAATCTATTGTTCCTTGCTTCAGTGGTCCGACACCGGTGTCGAAATGGATGACCTTCGTTGATATGGGTCATCTTATTGCATGTGCATATGATAAGGTGTGCATTGACTTGACATGATACGAGTTTTCAGAAATCTTTTTTCCACTCCGCATCGCACCACCTCAAAATCTAAATGATCGCATCATGTGTATTGGATGATTTGAAAAATCAAGACATTTTGTACAAGTTTACTTGAAACCGGGATGTCCCATACTACTTACATCACCATAATGAGTGACCCATTCAACCGCAAATGCCGAGACGTGGCCGAATCGTTTTGTTGAAAGGATGCACGAATTCGAAAGATTGAACAACATTGAAAAAGAATCGAATGCGGAAAAGTCCAAAGGGGTACCACCAATGTATTTAGTCGGCGACACTTGTTTTGATTCGTTTTGAATTCAGAAAGTTTCAGAGATACACCTCCAGAACTAATAATTATGGGGTCGTTCAGTGGATATAGCTCCAAAAAAAAGTTTGACAGAAAATGACTGGTCCATATTCACCTAGGTTTTCTATAAATTTGGGGTTTTATTTGTTATCTTTCACACAAATACAAAATTGTCTCAATTGTGTGAAATCAAGATCCGTTGGTATGTCGCAAGTGTATCATTTTTCGACGGCAAAACACCCAGGATGACGTTCAAGCTCATGGATCTCACCCCTTGCTGATATCATAAACGAGATCCAATATCGTCTACCTTACAATGACAAACGAAAGATTGTGAAGCTTGAGTATTGTTCACCTTCAGTTAACAACGAAGGGAACGTTGTTTACAACAAGTTTGAGCTCAAAAATCAAGACGATGTTAGGGCGATTTGGCGAACGTATTTCGATTTCGAAGAGAAAATTCCGCTCGAGTTAGAGGCGACGGTCTGAAGAACGGTTGATGAAATCTTAGAGATGTGCAAGCGTCCACCGAGCTATTGAAATCTAGTATTTAAATTTCTGTCGAAATCATCAATGTAACGCCGATTTTATTTTATGAATGTTGATTTTATCGTTGCAATGTTTATTTTCTAGTATTCTGTTTCTGGTTTTCTTTTATAAATACGCATAGAGAAATATTCCGTAAATACATCTATAAAATTAATTTAAAAAAACTGAAAAAAAATACGTCCGGAGATACATCTCCAAAATCAAGACGTATTTTAGGCAGAATGCGTGGTACCTAAGAAGGTCGAGGGTTGGGATAAGAAAATTTCTCTATAAAATCTATATAGGTCCGGTCCAAATCAAAGGCCCAACTCGATGTTAACGTTAGTCTCAAACGCACAGCAGCAGCTTAAGAAAGCGAAAGATTTCTAAAAAAAAAAAAGAGAAAAAAAAAAGAAAAACAATCAAAGAAACCTGAAGCGAACAAGTGAAGCAACAGAGAGTGGACACCGCCTTTGGGAATGGCCGGTAAAAGTGGAACTCCGGCGACTTACTCACCGTCTCCAACAACCGGCAAAACGAAATCAACACTTTTCAAAGAAGATTGGATCCGACCCGATGGCCGCGGTTTCCACCAGTGTAGACCCGCATGTAAGCCTCGTCAATTTTTCAAACTCATTAGTATCTTTGTTTCTATCATTTCAGTGAAAATTGGTACATTCATAATTCTATTGTTTATTTTGTTATCACTCTTTGGTATAGTGTTTTTTATGTATGATAAAAGTTTAGGTTTATGATTTTTGTAACATGCAGTTTTCAGGACTGGTGCTGTGAATGCTGCATCAGGATCTGCATATGCTGAGTTTGGAAACACCAAAGTCATTGTTTCTGTGTGAGTGTTTTCTTTTATCTATCTTTCAACAAATGTGTCATTTCATACTTCAATCAACGTGATGAGTTGCGTTTCTTCAGTTTTTGTTCGTTATGCTCTGAGTGTTTTTAAAAAAAATGTAGATTTGGGCCAAGAGAGAGCAAGAAAGCAATGTTGTATAGTGATTCGGGCCGTCTGAATTGCAATGTCAGCTATACGACATTTTCAACTCCAGTTCGTGGACAGGTATATAAAATGTTTTAATTTTTGGTTTCTTCGACTCTTTCCCAAATCATGATGATGTTGAGTTGCATTTAATATCTTATATCTCTCAAGTTAGGGTTCAGACCACAAAGAATACAGTTCCATGCTTCATAAAGCCTTGGAGGGTGCTATAATATTGGAAAGTTTCCCCAAAACCACTGTGGATGTTTTTGCATTGGTGCTGGAATCTAGTGGCAGTAAGCTTACAATTTTATATTGATTTTTTATTTAACTCATAGTCATGTTTTTTATGGCTAGGTTAGAAATTATAGAGATCATAAAATGTGATGAATATCAATTACCAGAACACAGTAGAGATGGTAGTTTAAGTTTTGTTTTTATTGTAGTTTACCTTGTTGTTATCTATTGTTTGTTATGCTTCAACAGTTTTTGTTCCCTTGCCTTAATGTGATATATTTCACTTCAACCCTTTTTAATCTAGTTAATTAATCACGGGGCGAGATTCTGTTTGCAACCTAAGCTACATGTTCTGCTCAGGAACCAAAAATGATTGATGAAACGTTGAGGTAAAGTCTTGGAGAGATGTGTTGAAGTCCAGTACGGCTGCGCTGGGGTGGACCTGTAAAGTTAGCACTCCAACGCTCAAAGTCAGTGAGAGAATGAAAAACGATGTGAGAATAGGGATGTATTTATAGGGCGGAATTGCCTATCTTTGGTGAGAGAGAAAAGCCACCTGTTCCGCGTGCTACTTCACTTGGTGTTTGCTCTTGGGCCTCTCGCCATGGGCGTTATGAACGACCCAGAACACTACATATGCATGTAGTCACCTAGAATGAAGGGGTTTGAATCTAACTGGTAGCATTAGTTAAGGTTGTTCCTAGACTTGTTGTGGGTATAGCTCGTGGGAGACAAGAAAAAGTAGTTTCTTTTGGTTGAAGTATTACTATTACCATTATAGCCACTTGAAAGATATCAACCAGGACTTTTGTTTTGTGAGAATTAATTATATATGCATACCGTCAACTACTGCAGCAATTAGTGTATTTCAAGTTGTTAGGAAAGTCTATTTTAGGAAGAGGTATAAAAACTGACTTTTTAAAATACAATATTATCAAATATCCTCCATGGCGGTGCTATGGTGGATATACATGGCGGTTTTTGAGCTCGCCATAATTGTATATATTGACCGGTATTGCGGGTTTTCTGCCATAATCCGCTATATCGGCGCTGCTTATGGTGGGATTTTGTCTCCGCCATGGACCACCATCTGGCTCCGACAACTCTAATTAAGTCCCTTGTATAGAATATGTGACAATTATAGCTGTTTTTTGTAAAATTAGGGATTTCATACATTAAGCCTCTTATAGGGAGCGAGGTAGTTATAGTTTGCTTTTAGTTAGTCCTTTCTGCCTTTCTGTGGAAGGACATCAATAAGTAGACTTCCAGCTTTTGTGTAAGGTAGCTTGTGAACTTCCTAAATTGTTTGACTGAATTTCTAGTGAGAGGAGTAGCATCCTCTGTGAACTCATTTTCTTTCATATCTCTGAAATTTATGGGTGTACTGCTATGCCGCTATTACATATCTCTGAAATTTATGGGCGTACTGCTATACTGCTGTTCCAAGAATCTTAACACAAGTTCTTTGCAAGATACTGCATAAATATATAATTCATGATAATAGCTGTTGTACACATAAGATTTATATATATAATTTTGTAGATTTTTAGACACCTCTACCATTTACATTTAGGGATATGATCTTGTGTGGTAGTCCAGTTTTAGTGAACTTGTCTGAGATGCATCCTGCATAAATATTTCTTTTGGATTTTAACACATTTTAAAACACTAAGAAGCAACAGTTAATGATCCTATTTAATATTATTGAAGGTCAGAGCTGCAATTTAGTCGAAATCATTAAGCAAAATCTGTTCTATTTGATTTTCTATGAAGTTTCTAGCAGTAATAATATTTTTAATCTGGTCAGTGTACTGCTATGCCGCTATTACATATCACAAGATTTGGAGCAACACCCGATGAAAGCCGATAGGCTATTGTGCTTTTGCTACCCCTGCATAAACCATGACCTTTTACATACCAGTGATCGTGGTTATGGCTTACGTAGCGGTAGTTATTGTTTTTATGCTTTTTTCCCTAAACACAGCAGCAATCAAGCTTAATTCTATTGAGATCCACTAGTTTCATACACAACAAGCATCAGTAATTAATAATAACTGTTGTAAATAAGTTATTTTTTACTACTATTAGTAGTAATTTATATTCGGACTTTTAGTCCATTAGTTAGGCTCATTAGATTAGAATAATCTTATATTTAGTGCTTGTAATTTTAACATACTTGAAATATATTATTCAGTTTCAAACAATAACGTTAAAAATATCATGTGAGCTCTTCAGTGTTGTTTAAAAACCGGTAGAGTGTTGCTATACCACTATTTTGGAACTTAGGTAAAGACACAACTCATAGTGGTATAGCAACACTCTACCGGTTTTTATTTGCCCGCGACATGGTTTATTTTATGTACATTTATTGATATTTCAACCGCGTCGCGGCTTCCACTCTTTACCCACTACGCTATCCACTATTTCTCATATTGGATTTTGGCAATCAACTATTAACAACACTATCTGAGCTGCATATGACATAATTTAAAAAATAAATAAAGTAATGCTGAGTTGGTGACAAGATGGAGTCTTATATAACCACTAAACCCCACAACTTAGGTAAACTCCTCATCTATTCCCATTTCCCCTTCACTTACCATCCCTAATTTGATTTTTCTATTATCATTTCATCACCGTTTTTTCTATTGTTTTCTTTCATCTGCCCGTCTGTTTTTTCCCAAAAATTTTCCTTTTATTATATCTCCCATGTTTAGTTTGATTTCTGTTTATGTGGGTTTTATTTGTGTGTTTTTATAAATAATTATTTATTTCAACTGCTTTACGACTTCAGCTCTTTTCCTGCTAAGCTATCCACTATTTCTTATATCGGATTTTCCGCGATCCGCTATTAATAACACTGAAACTTGTTGCAGGTGATCTTCCAGTTGTCATATCAGTTGCTAGTCTTGCCTTGGCAGATGCTGGAATACTTATGTATGACCTTGTGGCCTCAGTTTCCGTGGTATGGATTTTACTTGGATTTGAATTCTGTGCAGTATATGCTTGTTTTGTAGGGTGTTTGAGCTGCTTCCCATTTTAAAATTTTTTCATGAAATTTCTGATTACTATAATATTATTTTCTAATTTATGCTTTGAATTTACTATAACCATGCCATGAACTTGTTATGACCATGCCATGAACTATTCTTTTGTGGCATGCTTACTTTGCTGCTGAGTCTAATTTAGTTAATTTTTATCATATAAAATGAATATATTTTTTCCAGTCATGTATAGGTAAGAGCCTTGTCATTGATCCTATTTCGGAGGAGGAAAACTGTCAAGACGGAAGCTTATTGATTACGTGCATGCCTTCTCGCTATGAAATCACCCAACTGACAGTTACTGGGGAATGGTCCACCCCAAAGATTAATGAGGTCTGCCTGCTCAAAATCTTTTTAGTATTTTTGATTTTTGATAATGCCTATTTTGAAGTTATGAATTTAATCAGGAATCAGACAGTCTCACTTTACTGAGTGAAAAAATAATAATTAGTGGATCATACAAGGTTCTGTGCTGGTTGCATTGCTATTTTACTCAGAAATTTCTTTTAAGTCCTATTAGACCGCAATATATCAACGTCAATCGAGTTAATACGACAAATAGAGATGGAGGAAGCTGTTGTTAACATCTGGTTTCCTTCTTGCAGGGGATGCAGCTGTGCTTGGATGCTTGTGCAAAGCTTGCAAAGATTATGAGGTCATGTTTGAAAGAATCCGCATCTGATGCACAGGATGAAAGCTCTTAATAACACAGATCACAAGATGTGCTTTTAAATTGCTTTGTTTTTTTTTTTCTTTCTTTTTTCTCTTCTACCTCAAAATTGGGAGAGAATATTTTGTTGGAAGGTAGGTAGGGAAATATGCCTTTTATGTCCTGCAAATTTTGGCTTATGAGATTATCAAAGATAATGTAAAAATTAGTTATTCCTCATCTATTGAGTTTTCAAATGCATGCCACTCTGCACATGACATTAGGCTATACACATAAAACATGGATTTTACATTTGCTTCGTTAATATGCTCTGCATAACCGTAGGAATTTGTTACAAATCTGAATGGCTAAATTGGTTTCTACAATTTCTTAATGACGTGTTTTAGATTTGTGTTGGATGAGATTGATTTTAGCCCTTTTAGTTCATTTAGTACCTAATAAATTCATCGAGACAATGAGTGATCCACCAAATTCTTTAACGAAAGGAAATGTAGATAAGCACTTTAGTCCTAATTTATAAGAACAAGAGGTATATAAAATTGTGCAATGGATTAATTTACTAGTCATCTATTAAATTATGAAAAAGAGTGATTAAAAGGAGACAAAAAAAGAGACTTAAGTTATTAAGAATGAACTATTGAAGGACCGGGAGTAGTTAAGACTTCTATTTTGAAAATTTCTAGATATATTAAATAGGAGTTACTGTGCTAGGTTTTTTATGAGCGTGTTGGATCCAAAACCATCATTTACCAAGCCGTTGATGGTGGATCTGCTATAGGATGTTATTTATGCAGGAGATATTATTAAGGAACAAGTGAAGATGGCCAAGAATGGAGAAACTGCAAGGACCAATCTTACAGGTACTCCAACATCTAGAGTGTATGGTGCTAAATTCCTGAACGATTTGGTGGCTGAAATGCAAGGGAATAAGAAAAGTGGAGAGGGATCTTATAGGAATGCAGTCATAGGCTGCAATCCTGTATTCAACCAAGAAAATGAAGGATGAAGCAGAGCCTTGTCTCAACGGAATGAGGATTGAGGAATTGACTTATTAGGGTATGAGTGTCCAGAGTTTGTCCTGTCCAAGAATGAAGAAAGAAGAATACACAAACCTTGGAGGAGAGACGTCATAGTAAAGTTACATGGCAGAAGGATATGATATAAACCCTTAGAGACTCGGCTTAAGCAGATGTGGGTGAGGAAAGGAATCGTCAATATCATTGATTTGAGTAATGACTACTTTCTAGTAACATTTACTCATGAAGAAGACAAAAGTGCATCACTTTGTGAATGAACCATGGTTTATTTATGACCACTCTCTTACAGTGAAGGATTGGAGTCCCGACTTCCATCCCGAAAGCGATACCAATGATAGTGTGGCTGTGTGGATCAGAATTGCAGATCTACCAATAGAATATTATGATCCATGTGCTATAAAGGTGGACAAAAATACTATGCAGCATGAAAGAGTAAATATGCTAGAATTTGCATGAAGGTCAATCTTTCCAAACCCCTTTTAGCTATGTTCTCAATAAAAGGGAGAAAATATAAGATAAAGTATGAAGGTTTGCATCTGCAATGTCTCACATGTGGGAAGTTTGGGCATTATTAAGAAGGATGTCAAGCTGATGTTGTTAAAAAGAATGCGGTAGGAGATAAAGGAGTCTTGAAAGATGTTAGCATGAAAAATGAGAATCTAGTTGCACAAAGGAAGGTATAGCCACTACAGATGGAGAAGAGGATCCTTGGCATGTTGTGCGAAACAACGACTTGGAAGGAAATCTGCAGAGGCCAGGAAAGGAAGCCAAAATCATGCTTTTAAGGGTAATAATGGGTCTTGTTTTATTGCCTTAAATGAGGAAGTTTTGGAAATATATATGACGGGTAAAGGAAATGATAATGTTTCCAAATCTGGAGCTGTGGTTAATACGGATAATAAGGAGGAGGGGATTGAAGAAGAAATTGTGAGGGAAACTCCATTAGAGAATGGAATTGGTGATGTGTAAACCGTTTCTGATTGATAAGATGATAATGAATAATAAAATTATTGTTTGGAACTGCATAGGTTCTGCGAGTAAAGCATTTTATAGATATAGCAAATTCTATATACACATGTATAAACCTTCCATTTTTGTCATTATGAAAACTCGGTGTGATCCAAGTAAGTTACTTTGCACATGTATAAACCTTCCATTTTTGTCATTATGAAAACTCGGTGTGATCCAAGTAAGTTACTTAAACCTGTGCATAAGTTGGGTTTTGATGAGGTAATATCTTCTAGAAATAATGGATATTCTGGAGGTATTCTAGTTGCGTGGTGCAAGGATATGTGGAATATTACTCTCATGGCCAATGGGGAGTAATTCAATCATCTCAGTATTAACCGTGTAACTAGTGAAGAGTGGTTGTTCACTTGTGTGCATGCTAGCCCTAACAGGGATATGAGACACAACTTGTAGAATAAAATGAAGAATCTGGCTCGTAACTTGATCAATCCTTGGATGATGGCTAGGGATTTCAATGAAATTGCCTATGCGCACGAGAAGAAAGGTGGAGTGCAAGTTTCTCAGAGAAAGTGCATGGCTTTCCGTAATAATATAGATGACGACCAATATTTTATGGAGGCCAACACATTTATGAGAGGTTGGATATAACTTTGTGTAATGAGGAGTGGAATATGATGTTTTCAAAGGCTCATTCTAAGGTTCTCATTAGAGTTAAGTTTTTAGACCATCACCCAATCATGGTATCTCTTTCGAGCAGTATGTGTTCCAAAGTTGCTAAGAACTTTAGGTCTGAGAGTGCTTGGCTGATGGATAATAGTTATATGGAAAGGATAAAGGGTTTGTGGAAGGATAATGAATGATTAAGATAAAACCTTAATAAGATCAAAGAAGACTCTAAAGATTGGAAGTGTAGTTTTCTTAACCAAGTTCGTATAAGGAAGAAAGCATAGTTTTAAAAACCGGACCACACCGGCCAGTCGAACCGGTTGAATTGGGAGCCGAAGTGGTAACCAGTCTGGTTCAATTATTGGATCAGTCGTGTAATTGAACCGATGAGAACCAGTGTAAACTGGTAAAAACTAGAAAACTGACAGTTTTAGAAAATCGACGGTTTAAGTGCTTTTTTTAAATAAAAAATTTAAAACGACAAAGCTTTTCATTATTTAAAAAAAAAGCTCATATTCTTTCCTTTAAAAGTTGGTGTGAGTGATGTTAAATATAATGAATAAAGGTTATTACAATATTATCGCATTGGTATGTTGCGGAATTTGAACATACTTTATTTTCTCTCTTATGTGATTGATATAATTGGTTTCTATTAGTTAGACTGGGGTGTTGCATAAAGTAAATGGTAATTAGGGGTGGCAAAACGGGTTAGGCCCGTCGGACCCGTCCGTTTAACCCCCCATATTTGACGGGTCGGGGTAAGGTTTTCGGCTCGTTGTCTTAAGTTGGTCCGCCCCGCCTAACCCACTTTTAAAATGGGCCAAGGGCGGTGATCGCGACTTTCTATGTCTAATACAACCTAACTGCAAGTGCACAGTCTATCGCGTAGTAATAATAGATATCGATCCCACAGGGACTCGTAATCAAACTAGTGTTCTCGGGAGTTACTATGTTTAACTAGGTAGATAATGTTTGAGGGAATAAGATTGTCACTAAAGGGAACTAAGAATGTTAATTAAAGTATAATTAATTGAATCGATATGCAGTAATCATGTTCCTCGGGGATTTGACAAGTTACCGGTATACGAAATATTTTTCAGAGTTTATTTAAGCAGAAAATGGTGATCTGAAGACTCTCGCTTCACGATGGTTATTGACGCTAATCATACTTCTAAGGGACAAACGTACGCTTTCGTGTCCCATTCGGGGTTAAAATTATTTTTTTGGAGATCTCTAAGTTCTAATTCATTTTAAAGTGCTTTCGCTGTTATTAAAATGAATGACTAGTGTTTACTATCTGGTCTTGCCGCAGCTTTCGCTTGTTGGTTCGTACCTTCATTAATTTCCCACTTTCGTGGCAAAACTACTTTTAAATAAGTTCTCGCTTTCGCGACGAAGTTTATTTAGTAAATTAATTTTAAACACTCAGACTATAAACGACTTTTGAAAAAAAGACAATTTTCAACCGGTTATTATCAAATCCCTTCCGAATTATTATTACATATCGATTACTTTGATTTAGCTAGACATGGATTCGGGAAAGGTAAAACATAAATAAAAACAATAAATAATAGCATGCATCATAATAAAAACTGGAATTACGATTAAAATGAGAAACCTGTAAATATTCCAATTGACTTTTGGGCAGATCCTCCACAAATGTTGGCAGGATTTTGGTCTTTGTGCCAATTGATCGTACAACGGAAATAAGAATTACAGAAGGAATGGAAGGAATGCAGAAAAAGAAAAGAGAAAAAAATAAGAATATTAAAAACTGGAAAGGTTGCTCTGAAGATAAATTGGTAGCACTTCGTTGTCTGAATGCGGCTCCCCTTCTCTGCTCCCCTTCTTCCCCTTTTATAGAAATGGAATTCTAACGGTTATAACTTGAAGAAGGTGGACTTTGAGGCAGAATTATCAGGGAGTAGTGGTCCACTATTTGGGACTTGGAACTGCTTCTTTCACGTGCATTTGAAGTGGGGCGTTTTTGCCTGCATGACGGTCGTCACCCGTGTGACGGTGGTCATGGAGCTGTGACGGTCGTCACAGCAGCAAAATCAGCATTCTGCGCTTTTCATGATGTTTTCATCCGATTTTCGTCCATATTTCATCTGAGATTGCTTCTTTTCTTCATATTGCCTTGTTTAGACATGATCATCAAATACCTGCAAAACATCAGACAAATAACACGGAAATAACCCGAAATCGGATCGAAAACAGTTAAACTTTAGTTGAATTATGCATCAAAATATATATACGATTTCGTGTTATCAAACTCCCCTAAGCTTGAATCTTTGCTTTTCCTCAAGTAAAACAGGAAAAAGTCGGCAAGCACGAGGCAGCTTCTTCGTTCGCAAAGTTG